CCAAAAATATTTTCTTAATTTTTTGCATTTTATTTTATTATTTTTATTATTTTTTATGGCATAAAAATAGTTTATTAGGTTTAATAGAATTTATTTTCTTAAATAAACTTGTAAATAATATTAAAATACTTAAATATTTTATTTTAGTATATTATATACATAAAATATTATTTTCTCACATATTTTAATTTTTAATATCTATACATAATATTATTATTATTTTTCTTAAACAAAAATGGACAAGAATATTAGAAAACATATATTTTTCTTTTAATAAAAAAATTAGGGTTTCCCCTTTCAAAAATAATAACATTATTTTTCTTATTTTTAGGACTTAGATAATATTATTTTCTCATGCATAAAACAATTACAAAATATTTTTGCATATTTACATTTTTATTGCACATTTAAATAATTGTTTATTTATTTATTGTACAATAAATTCAATTGGGTTGTAATAGTAAATTAGGGTTTTATTTTATGCAAATATCCTCATTCTAAACTTGTATTCCCCCTCCCATAATATTGTTGTAATAGTTTAGATTTACTTTACGCAATTTATCGCATTATATGCATGTTTAGTAAATTAGGATTTGTATGATAAGACAAAAAATCAAACAAATAGACATGACCTAATACAAGACAAAAATACATGAAAAATGACAACACATTGCACACAAGCACCCCTAGGGTTTCACCCACTTGGTTGCCTTACAAAATGGCCATGGTATGCATGCTAGGTATCTTGGCAAAATCAATCAAAACAAAAGATCATAGTCCCTCGATGACGTTATCAACAGGTTGCCTAAACAAATGATCTTGGTCCCTCAAAACTTGCTAAAGATACTTGGCAATATTGCTATCATGGTCATACGATGACCCACGCCCGTCCCGTTTAACATCCAAAGATAGGGTTGTCTACCAAAACAATGGTAAATCAACAATATCAAAGGAATAAAAATGTACAAGAAAGACTTTTGAGTAGGTAGAATGCTTCTAGTTACTTGATCATTTCAAAAAACAATCCTTGCTATTTTTAAAAACACACACATTTCAAAACATTTCCAAACAACTTTCAAAACATTGAAACATTTTTCAAAAGACAAACATATTTGTATACATTCTTACAAACAAGAATCATTACAAAGATTGCCTAAACAAAGGCCTATTTTTCAAAATACTTTCAAAACCACACAAAGCACCATTTCAAAAAATTGAAAAAGAAAAGCAAGTGATCTAAAACAAGTAACTAAGAGCCCATGGAAAACCATGGATGAAAAGGGTGCTAGCACCTTCCCTTTTCATAATCTACCCCCCGAACCCAAAAACAATCTCAAAGGTCTTTCCTGTACTTTTTTACCTTTCCTTTTGGATAAAAGAAAAGTCGGTGGCGACTCTTGCTAACCGCGACATTTGCAAACACAAACGCAAAACCTCAAGTCATTTCTCCCACCGCATCACAGTATCGTTTATTTTCTCTATGTTTCTTACTTGTTTCAACATTTTTTGTCAATTATTTTATGTGATACTATTGGACAAAAGAAACTTAGATGAAGTTTTCAAGAAGTTTATAAGCTATCTAAGAGCATAGTTTTCATCAAGGGAATTCGAGGAAGCTTTTAGTAGAGTTCTTATTTCTTGTGTGATTATGAAGAGGCAATAGATCTTCTCTGTTCGGTATCATCATGACCCTAATTTATCCCTCATTTCTGCACTTTATCGTACTTCTTTACCGCTTTTCTAGAAATCTTGAGAAGTAGGGCTTTACTGCTTTCTGATGCCATGAGAAGTAAGGTAGAGATGTATGAAGGGGGTCTCCATTGTTGATCATGTCAGTAACCCCTCTGGTTTATTTAAATACCCGTTTAGGGCAATTCCACATTGTGTGCACTCTATTTGCTATTTGTGGTTGTTTAAAATCCTACCTTTAAGTAGGTATTCTGCATGTGTGTTTATATTTGTGACCGCATGTGTACAGATGATAAGTCCTCAAAAAGAGGCGAGCTGGGAGGGTTAGTAATCAACCCCCGCAATTTCATCCGTGTCATCCTTAGCTCGTGACGTAACATGAAGTTTTAGAGTTGTTCCTGCTCTTGTGTATAGAGTCGTCAAGTGGAGAAGGGTTCCGCAATCGAACCCACACGCTTTATCAGGAGTTCGCATTGGCCGATGCTGATACTCCGTGATCGTTCATATTGCCTTCTGACGCTTACCTCGATCTCCTATATCTTGGTTAGGTGTTCAGTCTCTTTGGACGTCACATTTTTGTTTTTACATCTCACTCCCGCTTGTTTGTCTCAGGTGATACGCTCCCCTTGACTAAAGCATTTCTCTTCTTTTCTTTACCATTTTATGTGTGTTCTCTTTCGAGCTTTCTTGTTTTATCCTTGTACATACCATGTTCCCTTAGGAAATGCTTTCTATGTTCGGATGCAAGTTAGACCTTAGGTTGTAAACCATGCATGCTAACATTAGGTAGACATTTTCCTTTTGTTAATCCATGACGTAGGGCCACCATTGTATAATAACACTAGGTTTAGAAATAGGCTAGTCCCCCGTAGACTCTTTTCTTCCCTTTTGCATCCTTGCATCAAAAACTAAAACCTTTTCCTTAGCAAATCAAAAACATGCTAATCGCACTTAAACCCTTTTTCAAGGTAATAAAACACAAATCAATCAAATGTGGCATCTTGCCTCGATGGCGTAACTCGAAACTATTTTCAGTAAAGACATAATTAATTTACTTATGTGCCAACGCGTGAGTCTCCAAAGGTCGAGCTGCGGCAGAAGACGAAATTAACATTGTTCACAAAAAAACACAAAACAAACAAAAACATGTTAGCCGAACTATAGTAACTCTGATTCCTCAAAAAGGATATGTAGGCATTGGGGTAGAGCCCAAGCGAGTACAACTTTATTTTCCCTACATTCTTTTCTCCTTTCTTTTGCATGCATTCTTCTTCAATAGTAAACAATAAGCATAGATTAAACACACTCATAAGATAGATAACAAGAGTGGATACCGTAGAGTACTACGGGCGTGTGGGGTGATAATACCTTCCCCTCGTGTAACAGACTCCCTTACCCGATCTCTCGGTCGCAAGACCGTGACTTCTCCCTTCTTAAGTTTTCTCGATGTTTACCTTTCCCTCCATGTGGGATAAAAGACGTTCGATGATGACTTCATTATTTGATGATTTTCAACCGGTTATTTCAGCAAGCACCAAGGTGGATGCCATAACTGCAGTGTCTTGATATTTTTTTCAATTTGTGTCGTTTTGTTCCGTCTTCTCGCACGAAAAACTCCTACCTATTAAATATCTGAAATAAACAAAAATACTAATATAACATAATAAAAAAGAAATAAAATAACTTAAAATGTCATGTGAATCAAATTGAAAATATAATATATTTTTTAGTTATCAACCTCAAAAGAGACAAAAAAAAAAAACTAAGATCTCACAATCACTTTTCTTTTGAATAAGTTATCATTAGAGAGAAACTTTATTAATTATTGATAGAATATATTTATTGAAAATGACCATTCTAATTAACTTATGGTGTATAGTAAAGTAGAGGAATTAACCACTCAAACCAACTTATTAAAGTCAGTACCATAAAAATAATCTGTAAATCTCATTAATGTTATCATTAATTATGAGCAAATGCTACCTTGACACTAATAATGATACTAAATACTTGCTTACATTCGACTATTGTTCAAAGTGAACAGTGTAATAGTATTAGTGAACAACATCTATAAATAATATATAATTAGTAATTTTTTAATAGTAAAATAAAATTAGTTAATAGAATATAAAAAATTAGTTAATGAGGTGGTAAAGTAAGTTAATAAACATATAAATATAAAAAATAATTTAATAGTAAAATAAAATAATCAATTAAAAATAGAAGATTGGTTAATGAAATTGTAAAGTTGGTTAATAAACATCACGATGTTAAAAATAATTTTTAATAATAAATAAAATTGATTAATAGAAAATTAAAATATTAAATAATAAAATTATGAAATTGGTTAATAAACGTCTAAATATTAAAAATAATTTTTAATAATAAAATAAAGTTGATTAATAAAATATAAATATTAAATAATAAAATTATTAAATTGGTTAATAAACATTTAAATATTAAAATTAATTTTTACTAATAAAATAAATTTAGTTAATAAAATATAAAAGATTGATTAATAAATTTATAAAATTGATTAATCACATAATTTTATATAAATATTTTTTAATCTAAAAAAATTATAATTTTTTTAAAATTTATTTATTATTATAATATTTCATTATTCATCATATTTATGAAAAATAAAATATAGTCTAGGTGTAAAAGTAATGCTAAAATAATATTTTTAATTAATTATGTATTGTGTCAGATTTTATTATATTTTTATATACATCGTTTTACATTCAATATTGACCGGATTATAAGGATAGAAAAATTAAAGAGAGAGAGAGAGTGAGAAAAATGAATAGCATATTCAAGAATTTTGAGTACAAATAATTTTTTATTAAAATTAAAAATTTAGAATCAATATTAAATAGTATTATCCAAATTCATGTTGCAATTAATGTGAATAAAAATAGAATTTTGAGTACAAATAATTTTTTATTAAAATTAAAAATTTAGAATCAATATTAAATAGTATTATCCAAATTCATGTTGCAATTAATGTGAATAAAAATAGAATTTTGAGTACAAATAATTTTTTATTAAAATTAAAAATTAAGAATCAATATTAAATAGTATTATCCAAATTCATGTTGCAATTAATGTGAATAAAAAAATTTCCCAACGACCTGGTATGAATGAGTCATCATCTTCATCTATTGCCTATCTTTCTTGTAATACATCTTCCGTTTCTATAAATACTAGACACATCTCCACTCATAAATCACACAGCTAGTCAAGCATCTTCTAAGTTAGTATTAATTTGTTATCTCTCATACTAGCTAGCTTTATAAATCATCATTATCATGGGTGTTTTTAATTTTGATGATGAGACCACTTCTATTGTAGCGCCTGCTATACTTTTCAAAGCTCTTGTTATTGATGCTGACACTCTTACTCCAAAGGTTCTTGATGATATAAAAAGTGTTGAAACTGTCGAAGGAAACGGTGGTGCTGGTACCATCAAAAAATACACTTTTGTTGAAGGTCAGTACTATACATACATATATGTGTTTTTTTGGGGATTCTATGCATAAATATGCTCTCTATATATAATAATTATACATAATCTTTTCTTGATAATTAATTAATTGTATATTGTGCTTGAAGAAGAAGAATAACTATATTGATTTGGTGTGATTAATACTTTATGGAATCAGGCATCCTTTTAAAGGCATCAAATAGTTGAGCTTGACATGTTTGCAAGCACGCGAGAATATTCTATATATATATATATATATATATATATATATATATATATATATATATATATATATATATATTTCTGGTGTTTATGATTGTGAAACAAATCAATTATTATGTGCAGATGGTGAAACCAAGCATGTGTTACACAAAGTGGACTTGATAGATGTTGCTAATTTTGCTTACAACTACAGCATAGTTGGTGGTGCTGGGCTTCCAGACACAGTTGAGAAGATTTCATTTGAGGCTAAATTGTCTGCAGGACCAAATGGAGGATCCGTTGGAAAGCTGAGTGTGAAATACTTCACAAAAGGTGATGATGCTCCTAGTGAAGAGCAACTCAAGAAGGACAAAGCTAAGGGTGATGGTCTTTTCAAGGCCCTTGAGGGTTACTGTATTGCTCATCCTGATTACAACTAAAACCATATAATTATCAAATGCTTGCTTTGGTGTGTTGTTATACTACATATCTGGTGTGCTTAATTTGGCTGCTCAGTTTGTCCCTTTCCTTTTTTTGTGAAAGTAAAAGTGTAAGATTGTAAGTCATGTGACCCACTACAAAGTCTCTTGTGCATCCGAAGCATAATGGCCATATTAAATTTAATGGTGTTAAGTGTATGTTTGATTGGCTCTAGTGCTAATGAGAGTTTATCTTTCTAAGTTCTAAATGCTAATGGTTTTATTAAAATTTGATACTTGTATTGAATTATCTATTAATAATAATAAGATATTTATTCATTATGTTTGTTTTTTCAAGATTATAAAGTCTCTACAATAGCTACTCCATTTGATTAAGTATTAAGTGTAACTTACTTGGACGACCTATTAAGCACAACAAGATTATTCTTAAAATTTTAGTCAAACTTTATTATGAAGTAAAATAATATTAAAATATTGAGACTATTAAATAGATAGATTGATGATCACATCTCACATATCATAAATAAAGAGTTGTCAAGTCTTCACATAGATATACATATTTGGAGTAATATTTAAATCAGATTGACTCACCAGAAGAATACCACATAGAATGATATATATACCACCCTTCGACCTGAAATCACTACGGACCCTAGATGTGGAGTTGGATACTTTATTGTTGTATAAATATTGTCCATAACTTGATTATAAAGATGATTGATGAGTACTCCATAAATAATGAAGAGGGAAATGAGTGACCTGGATGATATTTTTCCATCTTGTGTAACAAATAAATGTCTATCAGCCCTCAATATTAAACTTGACAAGGGTGACACGGTATATGTCTTGTATTTAATATAGACATGGGAGAAAAATGCACTACTACAAAAAAGTTCTTTTACCACAGTTGAAAAAGTGAACCACGGTAACATAGGGTGTAGTGGTATGTCTCCTCTTTACCAACATGAGATGGTAAGTTTGGTAAAAACTCAATAGCACGTAACATATCACTATGCCGGTAGAAAGAAATCGTAGTAAAATGTTGAGGTTAAGGGTTCAATACCAACACTAGTATTTTGAGAGATTTTTTAACATTTCACCTCAGTTGAATATTTTAACCGTTCTGAAAGACTTAACACACACCATTTCACCACGGTTATAACTACCAACCATTGTGGTATGTTCATATGAGTTTATTATATCTTATGTGTAATGCTTATTTCACCAACTGTTCACTAAACATAATCTTTCAATCAGATTTAGAAATCAATAATATGAAAAATTAAGTTATATTTGAATAACAAGTTACACTAATCAATGTTGTATGAGCTTTATACAACCCATTATCCTCATTTTACTTTTTAACGGTTATAATTTTTTTCAACGCTTCTAATTATTCAACTAACGCATCATTCTCTACTAGTTCATTCTTCAAAGTATTAATTACTTTGAAGATAAAAATAGTAGTGAAGGAAGTGGTAGTAGAAGAACTAGAAGAATTGAATCTAATTATATTCATTAAAGAGTAAGATACAAATAATAGGTTGTGTAAATCTCGAAAAACACTGATTAGTATAAGTTGTTTTCTAATATAACTTAATTTTTTATATTATTATCTTCTAATTCAATTCAAATGTTATATATTTAATGAAGGGTTGGTAAAACACTAAAACCACATAGGATATAATAAACTTGTCTTCTATGTTGGAGAAACAAAACGAAGCTGCAATATATAAGGAATAACATTAACAATAACACAAACAACAACATTTATCAACGAAAGCATCAACATACTTCAACATTCATCAACATACTTCCACATTTATCAACATACTTAAATATTTACCAACATACTTCAACACAAACAACAACATTTATCAACAAAAACAACAACTTACTTTAACATAAACAACAATATTTATCAACAAAAACAACAATATAAAAACTATAATGTCATCTTAACAACAAGAAAACAATAAACTCTATGTTGGACCGAGACCAACGTTTTACGTATATTTTGACCATGAAAAAAAAGAAAAGCAAGACAAATATTTTGAACAACAATAACATTATAACTCATAAAGTGTTTCACGAAAGTACCTTTCATTGAAAAGATTAATGGAAAATGAAGACAAAAAATGAGGTACTTATTTCGTCTTGCAAAGATTCATGTAACTTTTCATTAATTCATACTAGTTGGAGATGTTATGTTTGAGTTTTGAGAGTTTGAGTTAAGGCAAGAGAAGTTAGGGTTTCCTTTGAGTGCAGTCTACTCTGAAGTGATATAAGTTAGTTTTTATAGGTAATATATTTCACCACCATTGGTAAAATAAACCGTGGCGAATTTTTATTTTATTTCATCACAGTTGTGAATTTGAACTGTGGTGAAAAAAGTTTAATATTTGCTTAAAATAGAACTTTCAAGAAGACACATTTTTTTGTTACGAAAAATGGAGAAATGATGATTCTGGGATTTGAAGCGTGTAACCATTTTTCTTATCACCACGATTGGGTGTATGGAGCACGGTAAAAAGTGTTTTAATAAAAAAATGCGCCTAAATAAGAGTTATTATTTTGGTTGATTATATGGTTGTTATACCCCAATTTTTTCCTCTAAGATTTTATGTCATCTCATAGCATCATATTGTATCGGGATCACGTTGTCTTCAAGCTTCGTTCCGCACGGTTAAGGCGAGTTCGGTTGCTTGACTCTCAATACTCTTCGAGATAGGTTCATGTGTTTATTTCCATGCCTTCTTCAGAAAGTAATCTCAAATTTTGGCAAGTGTGAATAGTGTGAATCGTAATTTCGCCATCTCAAGCTCAAGGGTTCCGTCAGGCAGTGGCAAAGCAGAAACTCAGGGTTTTCAGGATTCAAATACACGTCGCACATGTTCCAATATATCCAATCCGAGATTATTCAAGACATTATTATATCAAGATCTCATGTGTTCCAACATGTTCTGAATCATGCAGAAATTCAAGTGTTTCAATTGATTTGAGATTGCAGACAAAAATTCAGTATTGTGCGTTTTTAGCCGATAAAATCTTAACTTGAGATCAGAAAATGGTTTGGGAATAATTCTTCAGTATTTAGAACCATCTTGAGGTCTTCTTCGTTTCATCTATTCATGTCGAAGGCTAATTTTGTGAGGAATATTTTCTAAAATGCCAAATACTTGAAATGCGTTATATAGTGGATTTACCGTTTCACTGGTTTTTGGATGCTTAAAAATTAGTAAATTCTGACCAGAAGATCATCTTTGAGTGCCTCTTACAGCATTTAAAATGTCTTGTTATTTCCTTCAACTTTTGTGTTAAGCTCGGAAGCCAGTTCATTGAAGAAGATCTTCGAATACGCGAGTACTCAGAAGCCATATAGTGAAATAGTGAAAACAGTGTGTAAAACCGCAGGTTTTCATATGTTCAAAAATTCATAACTTTCGCTAGGTTCGATGCTTTTTAGTGGTTCTTTGGGTGAAAAATTTTTCTTGATTTTATCTTCGATTTATATGTTCGGATCAGAAGTTAATTCTTTGCAGAGGGTTTCTAAAAATGCAGATTAACAGAGAAAATTGCACTTTGAAATGTTCTCTTACCGGACTGTTTCTTGATATTATAAAAATCGTAACTCTCTCAATTTTTATCGTATCGGGACGATTCTTGAAGCGTGATATCACAAATTTTATTAGGTTCGACTTTGCTTCAGGGGCTGAGTCCAGGTTGTGTTGTGAAGGCTTCAGTTTATGGCTCACATCTGAAAGTGCACACGAAAATAAGCGGAAATTTTCAATACACGGTGAAATAAGTCCACTGTTTCTCGCCGTTCGAAAAATCATAACTTGTTCGATTTTTATCGTATCAGGGTGATTCTTTCGGCATAAAGACACAAGTTTCATCACCGACATTTTCACTTCAGGGTTCGCATCGAGATTCTGCACCAAAAGGCATGAGCTTATGGTTTGTTCGCGCTCCGTACACAAAATAAGCTGTAAAATTCTGCACTGTGAATTTTTACACTGTGTTTCTTGCCGTTTAGGGCAACGTGACTTACTTAATTTTTATCATATCGAGAAGATTCTTTTGGCTCCACGTCACAAATTTCATCATTGACATCTTTGTTTCGAATCACGCGTCAAGATTTCGTACTGATTGTGATGAGCTTGGGGTTCGGTCTCGCATTGTACATAAAATAAGTTAAAATTCAAGCTTTGGAGCCAAACTATATATTTCAAACTTCAAATTTTCAAACACAATTACACACTATTTCAAATATCACAAGATCAAAATAAAAAATTTCTCACTTTTCTCTCTACTTTCTCTCATCTTCATCAAGAGCACATTCACAAAAATCATCAATCTTCATCTTTCTCCTTCTGATTTTTGCAAGAAAACTCCTCCCGCCGCATATCGCCGCGAACAGCCGCCTTCTCCGACAAAATTTCGGTTGAACACTCCCTCCGTCTTCTTGCACAACCTTCGATGCCACCGTCCCCTTCTGTCGCGCGAACATCTGCGACCGCCTCCGTCCGACGCTAATTTTCAGCGGTATCTTCTCTCTTTGTGCGAAATCCGGCGATAGCATCATCTTATCCGATCAAGTTTTCTGGTAGCTTCATCTTCAATCTTCTGATTTTGGTAAATTCTTGCATTTCATTTGATTTAATTGCTTTTGCATATTTGATTGTTGAGGATTATGTTGATTTGAATTTAATTGACATAAGCATGAAATTAAATTGAATTCTATAAATTGTTGAGATCTTGATTTTTGAATTTATGTTGATGATGATGAATAGATGTGGAGTTGGATAATTTTTTTTTGATTTATTGATAATTTTTCAGATTCGGTATTTCTTGCGCGTCGAATAATTTGTGTTGATGATGTTTATTTGAATCAGCGCGTTGATTGTGTTTTCGATCGAATTTTGTTGAGAAATAATGTCAAATTCATGAGTTGATATTGTTTTGAGTTGAGTTAAATGGTGAATCATTTTTTACGA